TGTGAAACTAGGCTCCGACGCGAGGCCTTGCGACGATGGAACGCGTACGTCGCTCTTATGTAATAGGAAACATGGCGCATTGTTGAATCTAACTATCATAATTTCTTATATATTGAGGCATGACGTCATCTACTCTTAAAAAAAATAATTTTCATGAATATGAATATGTTTTTTTTTAAATATTTTTGAATAATAAATATTTGAACGGCTTGTTACCCGAACTACCTGAGTATTATATGATACTAGCTTTTGCCTGCGACTCCACGTGCGTGTATGTCGATTATCGCGGTAAACAGTAGCCTATGTTACTTGCTTATAATATAGCCTTCCATTGGTAAAATAATTTTTATCGGTTAATTAATTAATATATCGGTTTAGTGGTTTAGGCATGCAAGCGTTATAAATAAACAAACAAAGTCACTTTAATATTTATAATATAAGTTTGTAAGTCCTTAATTTCAATCGAGAATTAATCTTGAATTTTTCATGAGAGTATGAAAAGCATCGATTTTTACTGATTTGCAATTTTTAACGAATAAACCATTAAACCAAATAATTATTATCAGTCATAAGCACTTTTTACGGAAAGCAACCAGTATGGCATTAATACATACAAAAATAATTTATTATAAAATACAACACACTTTACAAATTTGAAATCTAAGCACTTATTTTTAGGGGTCACTTAGACAATTTAGCGTCAGCTGTTATACAAATATATGCCATTGACATTCAATTCAACTCAGCAGTTTTTTTAAATATTTAAATACATTTGTGCAAGTATTTGTTTCGAAATACATGACTTCGTACATTTTAATTAAAAATATTAAAATAAATGAAAGTACCAAGTATTTCACGGGTTGCAATGAACAAAAACTTTCTTTCTAAACTGATAAGATCTTTGAACATGCAAATACTTTTTGGTATGTACATACAAGTACAGCGGTCTTGCTTGCCAAAATTTATAACAATGGCAATGATTAGTGTCATTGACATAACTATTGTTCATTGTTATTATTGACGTTGTTTTACTTCAACTGTGTTATAAGAAACGCACATTGCTTTTAATACTTTTTTGATTTGTTTAATGATGTGTATTTTTATTTATACAGTTATAGCATATAATATGAATTTTATCACTTGTTTGTTTATCTACACTACGTTCACATATTTGTTAAGAAACAGAATAAGACGTCCGTTCAATTTCAACGGTCACGAATGTAGGTCTGAATTAATAAAAATAATATTCCGGACATCTCTGACACACAATAAATTAGTTTTTAATACTTACACACAGTTAGTTACTTATGTTTGATTAGTAAATAATAATGTGCAGCCCTGCGCATACACCATTTTTAATACATTTATCGATTTTCTCAGTATTTGCCATACCTAGTTTATAATCACAGTTTTTGACGGATACTGGGAATGTTTAAATCTAAGCAAATTTAACACTTCAAAATGGCCATAAGAGTCAATGGAATGTGCCTATGGCCATGAAACAGCGAAAGTGAATGTGTCAAATTACAAAATCTGTAAAAGCAGTTTTAAGCATTCAATCCTTCCCACTTATTCATAATTAAAAACCGCTATCCCTCCATAAAAAAAAAAAACAAATAACCGTTTTCTATCCGACCTTCCTAAAAAGGGACGTAATATATTCAAGGCCCATTATGATATTTTTTCAGGGTCTTTGACGGCCAGTCATTCAATTAACAATGTAGAATTGAGAACGAGGAAACATCTGCAGTCGTCTTGTTTAGGTTTTCTTTGTCATAATGTTTACCAATGGGTGAGGTCATTCACACCTTTATCGTCCGAGTCGGCAAAATTTGGATTGTCACCAGGCGAGGCACGTCAACCGATACATAAAGAGATCAAAACAACATGTCACTATAATCGGTCAGGTATAACGTGAATTCAAATATTATCTCTAAATGTAATGTCTACTACTTGCTTTGATCTGATTTCACTCCAAGCAATTATGTTTTTATTCCAAACTGGTGTCGGCTATATAGATTAGATACCAGTCTGGCAAAAAAAAAACATAATAAGGCAACTGTAACGTGTTGATATTGTGACATGAAACCAAAAACTAGCATAATGTATGTCATCATTTTTTGAGATTAGTGCCTTTGTGTCACTGTCTTTGAATAAAAAGATTGTCCACTTATCCTTTATTATCTTAAGATCTAGCGATATGATTAATAAGGATCAAGGACGATTATTCTTTCAATATAAATTCCATAACAAATACCGTTCACGTCTTCAAATCAATCAAAACATGCAATTCATAACTTAAAATATGATAAAATTGTAGATTTATTTGTGTTTTCATCAAATTTTATTTTATTTTCTTAAACTTATTTATAAAGATTTATATCCAAGTAAGTCTTTAAATATTAGGTATGGACGAGGACTTACTACCACTATATAGTATATATGTACTACTATATACTATACTAGTAGCTAGTTTCATACAATGCAAAATATATAAATAGAATAATCAACTATCGGCGGCCTTATCATACAGTGACTTGTCTAGATTTGTTTGCGTTGATATGTTTTGGCAAATTATGCAAGATCACTATGGACTGCTTAAGGTAGGTCGTTCAACTTCAACTAGATCACCTAGTCTCGTCAAAGCGTGTGAAAAATATCTACAGTATCGATACAATGATTTGCCGATATGGCTCAATAGTCACCTGATAAACCATTCGAGTGATGGGAACGAAATTTTAGAAGTCGTAAGCATTCCGATAGGTTTTTGTTGTCTTTGATAGAATAAATAAAGACTTCAGCTTATCAGAGATACCATTGACAGTTTTATTTTTGTAATAGTAAAGTAAATATTTAGACTTCTGAATTATGAATTCTGGTAATGTGTTGAGAAAATTTACATCGTTTAATATCTAGAACGTTTAGTGAAAATTGGTCACGATCTCTTAAGTTGTTATCTTTTGATATATTTATCACTGATTGATATCTCTCTCAGTTTAAATATATAAAAGTATGATTCTATTCGTCCGTCCTTGTCTAACGGTATCTTTCGACTTTCCCTCGCTCTATGTTTTGTTATTTTGACTGCCCCGGTGGTGAGGTTTTGGATAAGATTCCAGATTTGGACCAATAGTTGGTATGATCTGCAAATATTTGTTTTGGAGTTTGGGTGTTCTCTATTTATAAATATGTATTTACAAAAAAAAATATTTAAGTATTCTATTAGTCAATCTAACTTGCTCTAAGCTCTGCTTAGTTTGAAACTAGATGGCGTTGTGTGTAAATAATATTATTATAGCTCTAATTAATAATCAGGTACTCAAAATACACCATGGTACCACACTTTAAATCGACTTTGTATAAATAGTTCTAAAACACACGTTCCCAAGAACAAACTGTATAGTATCACATATTGCATAGACTTCCTGTTTTCGTACCAAGAATGGGGTTATTCGGCCCGGCTCGCTTTCACCTATTCTTACAGATAGGCCATCCATACATAGCGCGTTGCGTCAATATTTCGAGTGGCCGTATTTTCTTCAGGAGAATAGTTAACCCAGTTTCGGTCGTGCCTGGCTAAATATACCGCAGCTACCTGACTGCGAGCGCATAAAGCCAGCATGTGAGGCGACGCACCGAACGGTGACACGTTGTCAATCTTATTTAAAATACCTCGTAATATGTTTGTATCATGTCATGTAGTAAAGCAGTTTTGCTCAGACACAAAATATAAGTATCTCTTCCCGTAAGTCCATGAAGCCACACAGACCGTGTGAGCCACGTGGAGCTTTGTTAAATGTCTACACCGTGCACTAGTTCTGCGCTGTGGATTTATAACTTCCTTTCTATCATTACACATTGCAAAATAAATAATCATCAACTATGTCAAATATTACTTATTAGCATATTTTCCTAAGAATTTCGATTGAAATATCTAGAACACGTTATCATTTTTGCAGTAGAGTAGTCTTTGTCGCCAGATTATTTTCGTTCTCATTTCCAAATAATAAATAAAGATAAAAATTATTTCGCTGGTGTTTGCTTTTATACTGTTGCATATATCGTAATCAACTGAGGGTAACGGGCTACCCATCACTATTAAGTAACCACATATTGCAATATCTAAATAACACGTTTTTGCAACGCACGGTAGTTGGTTTGTATCAAGAATTAGTGGGTACAATCAGCAAAAAGACACAAAATTATATTAATAATTCAATGAGGATTGAATTCAACCCAAAAATACATATTAATTATATCTATACTCTATTTAGTATTAGATAGACAGATAAAATTTGCCATAAATCTATAAATGATGTACCAATTCACAGTTGTTGGCTGTACTTCTAGAGAATTAGAATAAACAACTAAGTAATTTATCAACTTCATATAATATGGTGTACTTATCTAACAACAGATTAAGTAATTATCGAATGTATTTTTACTATCAGTTTAGTGTAGCAATTTTAATAACTAAATAACTTTTATTAACACATCATGTATATTGTGTAAGTACAAAGTCATCGCTCTGTCCCAACAATGAATCCAAAGCGTAATCTAGAAACTGGTAAATAGCGGCCGATGCGAATGAACTCACTTTTAATGTAAACCAACAACTGTGCCATCGGCCCGACTAACCTTTCAGACACAAACTGGTAACTAGGCTATGTATTGTTGAAACTACAATTAAAATTTCTTTAACATTTCTAAGGTCAATATATTTTTTAAGATTATCTGACTGGTATACCTAGTTTAGGACACGATACCTTGGTTCTGACCGTCATATTATGGTGTTGAAACAAAGTTTGCATATTCCAATTATTTCTCCTATATAAAAGTAATTAAATTAAAATAGCTTTCTGGAAGCACTACTAAATAAGAGTTCTTAAAAAAGTAAAAGTACGTGTATCTTTATTGTTTGTGATCGTGACTATTACTATGTTGGATTGAATAATAAAGAAACTTAGACGTATTCGTAATGCGTGAAGACAATACTGACAATGTCTAGAGCATCGTTGCAAAGAAGAGTGGCGCGTGCGCATGAGGTTGACCTACATTTGCGGTGCGACCATTAGGTACTCACTACCAGACCACACACGCTATACTTCCCCACTGCGCCTCAACACAGCGGCCCATCAAGTCACTATTGAAACATCAACGCTAACTATACCGAATCCCTTTTTGGTAGTTCAATGACCCCGCTATCGAAATCGCACACTCACATGCACGTCCACGGACGAACAGCCAGATAAAAAAATGAAACAAAAAAACATCATCGCGTAACGGTGAATGACTACTAGACAGAGAGAACTATATTTCGGCGGTGCACTCGTTGAATGTAAGGTCGGCTACGAAAAACACTGACGCAATTTTTATAGCGTACGTAATTGAGCACTGACGAAGTCAGCGGTGTGTGCGTGAGCGCCGAGAGCGACGCCCGCGTCCGCCGAAACGGAGGCGGAATATTTAGGTGAAAGTGTTTCGAATTTCGACATGACGACATTAGCGCGCAGTCGTTATCGTGATTTTGCCGAATCGAGAGGTTCGGAGAGCGCAGGCAACTGCGACGCGACTGCGATCCGCGCGTGCGCAACCTTCATATGCTCGTTCAACAGGAAGTGTTCCGGACTCTGCATGCTGAACGTGGTTAGTGCTTGCGTTGAAAAACTATGCTGAGAGTTGGTGTGTCAAAAAATTTTCGGAGACGTAAATTAAAAAGGTGATCGGTGTAAACGGAACAAGGTGATTCTTCGTGTGATGTGCGTGTTCCAACGCTAAGCAAGCTGTCGGAGGACGACAAGCTGGGGCCTGACGAGGCGTTCGACGCCTCCACGCACGCGCATCTATTGCAGACGATGACATCCACAATGGGTAAATATTAAAACAATTGCAATATTAATTCAACCCATACAACTCCATGTGAAAATAACAATACAAATAATGCAAATGAAAAACGTAAAAAAAACCGTCATTAATATTTATCTGTGCTAATACTGTAACTTTGAATAATTTATAATACCACTAATACTAATTATACTAACCTACTTTACGATGTTCACACTATACATACAAACACAAAAGCTGCGTAGCCATGTGCTGCGGACTACTACAACTAAAGCTTGAATTCTTGAAAAATAACCTCATTTATAAAACTGCCTTTACTATTAAAAAGAACAACATTATTAAGGTTAAGGTGAATTATTATTCTATTAGCAACTGTAAGTAAATTAAAGATTACAAAACGATCACAAGACCATTATTTTTTAGAAAATTATAATCTTAAACGATTTTGTACAACGACTAAAAAATATTTAGTTATGAAAAGATAGCAGTGAAATGAACTGGTATTTTCGTAGACTTTGCTACGGCTTGAGCTACGAAACACTTAGTACTGGAGTCGATTTAGCGATCTACGAATTATATCCGAAATACTAATAAATACTAATAAGTATCCATATCATAAAATATTTTAAAATATTATCGAGTTATAAGCGCTTTATCAATACAGTAGAATTACTGGAACTATCCTTCACAATATATTAACAATTACATCAATTAATGTTAAATATCGTACTGACTATTTAACTGTAAACATCTTCATCTCTCTCTACATTTTAATATCTTGGCAGCATAAAAATCTCCGAATCACGGAAACGTTTCAATGTCTTGTGCAAGCTCCAGATTCGTATACTATTTTTAAAAATAAATGATTATACCTAGAATTACAAAACAAAAGAAGGCCCGTTACACGTTATTTCATTGAGCGTTAACCGTGACATTCCCAAATCATCTCGTGGATCACAATCGTGACTCCAGTCGGCTATGACCGACTACTTTTACTTTCGTTACAATATGGCCGCCCTTTGTCTATGCTCTATGACTGTGAGGTTGTTGATCTCCCGCCATTTTGTCGTTGCCGAAATACTTTTTTTACGCTCACTTTCCAATGTGGTGAAAGCGAAAAGGTACGGAATGACACTGCTTCCTTTCATAGCATTGTAGTGGGAGGACATTGAGTTTCAATAATAATAGGTGCGTTATTTCGCTCGTCAAAAATACTATTGTTGACTAATTTGCATATAAATATATCAGTGACTGTACTCATACTAACTAACTAACTATTGGCAATACTTAAGCTTAAACGTTAACACGTTGTTTTGAGATTAATTGGGCCTAAGTACACAAATTTAGAAAATTTGTATTTTTTCCTCAGTTTCTGTACCATCACACAAGACACAAAGAGTCTTGAGTCTTTAACATTGACTTCAAATTTTTGGCCACGGATTCCACGTGCCTACTTACAATTGCGCATTGTGACCTTTACAATTAGATCTTAACATTTCGACCTTAGGTTTATTATATTTATCCGGAAGCACATTTACTCCGCAACATCTAGAATCCTGTAGTAACATTAACATGTTGAACGTAAATGAACGAAGTTTAAATGCTAATATTTCCTGTTCAGCGCATTAAAAACTTAATTTAATTCAATTATAGAAATAGTATTACTTATATTTAAAATAGAAGAGTATTGTTGTTGTTTAAATAGGAAATCACTAAATCGGAAGTGTCAGTATTAAAAAATAAAACGTTTTAGTTTTGTGCGCGCACGCGCAGCGCGAACTGAATGTCAAGGCATTTGTTGTGGAGGCCACAAGAGAGGCCCAGAGCACTGGGACTGTAGTGTTGCACAAACATTGCATGTTACACACTATCTTTAATTTTTTTTAAATATATACAGCGTGTAAGTTCAAGACATAGTACTGTAGTGATTGTGACTAATCACATCATCGGCCCACGCATGAACCTGAATTATACCTGTAAACATTACATAGATAGACATCATTTACCTTGATAATTTGTTAGTCATCGTCTACGACTACCCTAACATATTTAGTGATTCAGTTAAATCTATCTCCATATATAAACGAAAAAATACACAAAGATGGTAGTGGTAGGAAATAGTAGTACTTAAGTAATAATTTAGACATTAATAAAGGTATTTACATGCAGCACAGGTGATACGAATGTATAGAATTCGAATGAGTTCCCAATCGCAACTTATATCTGCTTCGCTGCATTCAAATAACTCTGTCTATTTCTCTCGTAGTTCATTATAAACGATTTTTCTGAAGACTTTAGAAATACACAAAAATATTGATCCTCTTAATACCTAATAAAGAAAAATATTCGTAAAATTGATCACAATAACCTTTAAAATCACCTTTTTTCCAAAAATTTACCTACCAAATAACATTATTATTAGTTTACACCCATAAAAGATAGTTCAGCGACCTGGGTATAGGTCATATAGTACAAAGTCCTGAAGTGAGACTTGTACTTACAAAGTAGACACAACACTTGTGTATAAGTCCCACGTCGTACAGGCGGTCGTTGGCGCCGAATCAGGCGGCTGACCTCGCCGGTGACACTGACATTGCGACCGGAACCGCCCGAGTACTTCCTGTACATAACACGGATACCTCAAGATAAACACTGTTACAACTTCTATTAATAGGAAAGAATATCTTCTTAAATGGGTCGGTTTATACTTCTCAATCGATGTACGTAACCAGAAACGTATTCCAAAATAAATGATGACATCATTACTTTGTCTTTTTGGCAGTTCCATTTTTAATAGTTTTATTATTTATAAAATGCATTTGTCAGGGCTCTGCCCGCTTGTATGTCGGTTATCGTTGTAAATACGAGTACGTAGTAACTTATGTTACTCGCTGATAATATAGCTTTCCATTTTTAAAATCAGTTGAAAATCAATGAAAGAATTTTTAAAATCAGTTTAGTGATTTAGGCGTAAAAGCGTAACAAACAAACTCACTTTTACATTTATAATATAAGTAAGGATTATACACGATACTTTATAAAACTACCTGGACAAATATCTTCACCAGCACTCGTGATGGCTCGTAAACGACTACTTTTATTTTCTTTTCTTATAAATATATTTATAAAATAATAATAATAACTTTATACATCTCCCACACGGGCCCCTGATCCTAAATCAGGCAGAGACTACTGATAAACATAGCTATATATTTCTAAATACATACAAATCATAGACAAATCACACTCAGACTCAGAACAAATGATCGTGCTCATCACACAATTATTTGTCTTGGGTTAGATTTATACCTACGACCTCTGGCTTACAGCAGCAGGCAGGAGGATTAACCACTAGGCCAACAGGTCAAATGTAAGTATATGTCTACTTAGGCCAAATCGAAACTGATTTTCTTTATATATAAATATGTTGGTACGCAATCACGGTACAAATACGTTAAACATCAAGATGACTCTTTTCCAAGCAGATATCTTTTCGACCCTTCTTAATCATACAACACTACTTTGATACTAGTAGTTATTAACTGGTAGCTTCTTAGGCCACAAATTAATGTTTATTAAACAATCGCACATCAATCCTAAAAAAACAAGTAAGAGAGAATCTTTCAAATGGAAGAGGTGGTATTATCACTGGCGGAGATTACATTATGATCGTAATTACTTAAATAGACATAATGCAAGGCTTGCTATTAGTGCAGAAATCAACCTTGAGCGTAAAGCACTTATAACATTCACGTTTACTTAGACCTAGCTTGAATTCTATACATTCGATTTTCGAGTCAATACATTCTGCCAACAACAAAGTTGGAGACCTCAAGCGACCTTCGAGGATTTCACAAATATGTTCATTTAAGCAAAGAACATCTAACATTAGACAGATAGATACGCACCTCGTTTTGTTCAAACATTTTCGCAGGGATGATTTCAAATTATCACTGTATAATTACATGTATAATTGATCATGTAGCTATAAACACTTAGAAAAAATATAAAAAAATATTTAATATATTTTGACATTAATTGGAACCACAGGTTAATATATCCTATTAGTGTATTATTCTTCTTGCGCAAAACCATATATAATATTTAGAGTTTTTTATTTAATGCATTTGAATCTTTTAAAAAAAGAACTCCAAAATGTTCGAAATCGGATACTTTTATCTAAAACTACAGATATATTTTGAAAAATTACATTTTAAACCCTCAGCATTCATTTACTAATAACTTTTTCACAAGTTATAAATTGAAGTTAAAGCCGTTACATCACTTCCGTACTTCAATTCCATCTGATTAGATGAATAATCAAAAACAAAAATACTCTCATAAGACTAGTTTTCAAATATAAATAGAACATTATGTAATAAAGCTACACAAACATTAATTTATCTGAACTTGTTTTATAGTGTAACGATTAGGAGTAGCGTCATGCAATCAACATAACATGTCACCTTCACTTTGCAACTTTAGTTTTTAATAACACTTTCAATAAGCAACATGACTTTTCCTTAGATTTGTATAACCAGTACATAAGTTCGGATATAAGAACGAGGTTTATTTAAAATCATTCTAACTAACTTTTGCTGATTATTTTTGCAACTAATATACAAAAATTAAGATGATTTAAAATTAACAGAAGACTGATAATGAGTGTTGACAGTAGGATACCTGAGCAAATGTAACGCCAACATACCGAAGACTGCAGTCGGAATAAAAGAGATGAACGCCAGTCTTCTAGGTCTTGTTTTATCTAACCTGCAATACGAAATGAAGATTCATTTCATTGATGAACTTTTTAATTTCATTAATTAAAATTATCAACAACTGTAATGTTAAATTTCATGCATGCATGCATGCATGTTCAAGCATTTATAAAATTGTTAATTAAATACTAATTAATTAATCGAAGAGGTTTAGATGCACCATCACATTTAGAAGGAACTCTAGAAATAGTGGAAGCGTGAAATTGTTGGTGATAAGCGGGCGACCGCTGTGGAGGTCAGCTGTCTTCC